ATATATATATAGCAGTGGTTCTCAACCAGATTTTTCTCACCGCTGAATGCGTCTCTAACATTCATAAGTCAGGCAACTTTACTTTCAAACACTTGTCCTACCAGAGCTTTTAAAAAGTTTGTTGTGCTCATGTTGTAAGTGTGCGGCGAAGGAAAATAAATAGTCCTTCAAGTTTTCTTATGGTGCGCCGAAAAGGGCTTTTAAATAAACTTAATAAACTCCATCATCATTCCATTCACCAAAAGAAGGAAGCTGAACCAGACCAAATCCATATTGTCAAGCGGCGAAATATCTACTAACTGGAACTGGAATTCACATCCAAAAACGAACGAATTGAAATCTGCCACTATATATCAACATCATGGCAGACAGAGAGGCGCAGTATTGAGAGCATTGGAATCATTTAAAACGTTGTCAAGGCTGGTAGACAAATGCAAAAGTGTACTGCGCAGACTAAGAATCCGTAACAAGATTACATTGTGGTGGGTTTCAGGTCATGAGAACTTTCGTGGCAACGAAAGGGTTAACAATCTCGTAAAACGCGTAGTTTTGCTGTGTTTCAACCAAGGGATACAACGTGAAGCTTTTAAAAAGGTGGGAGGAATCTCAGATTCAGAAAACTCTCGTATGTCCCTCTCATGGAGTCTATGAACCACTGCTTAGCCTTAGCCTTAGGGTCTAAGAAATATCACTGGTTAACTGAAAACATAGTTTTCTTTGATTTATTTTCGAACGAAGTTCCGTCATCCTTTGTCAAGCTTGGTTTGCAGACAAACCGGTTACGGCGTTGTGCCATCATCAGTGTAATTTTTCGTTCTGTCTGGTTCGAGTTTTTGTTCTTAATTTATGTTTATTTATCTTAGGTAATGTGATTTTCGTCGATCATTAATTATTAGATATGCCATGGTGTCCTTTTTTTTAGAAGCTGGTAATAGTTTTCTTCTATATCTTTCCAAATTTTCCAAAAGATAGGCTTTTTTTTTAGTGTTGACCTCTTGATATTACCCAAATATGCTACCAACGAACTATTCTTCAGCATTGGAACAAGAAAAAAATAGCAGGAGTTTAAAATCTGGAGAACTGGATGAGAGAGTACTTTTTTCTTCGCCAAATAGGTTCCTTTTTGCTGCAAACAATATTCGCCGGTGATCGTTTTACCAACATCGATCTCCTTTGGTGCGCGAAGTCCATTGTTTTGACTGTTTCTTTATCTCTGGTGTATTTCGATGCCTCAATTTTTCGTTCATGGCAACAAAACTGCGCAAACTTTCTCTTAACATTGTCAACCACCACTTTGAAGTGATCACACGGTTGCGCTTTTTGGATGCCATTTTCCTGACCACATAATGAATATCAAAATGTGTGCTACTTGCTCAGTTGAGCTGCCAACAGCTTCAGATACTTCACGCACTTTCATTCTTCGTTCGTTCAAATAAATTCCATTAATTTTATAGACGATATCCAGCGGAACGACTGCTTTTAGGGGACCTGAACGTTCGGCGTCACTTGTGCTGGTACCACTACATATAATTGAACTCAACAAACTGTTTCTTAATAATTGAAATTCATGGCGTAGAGTCTCTACACGACATAAATATTTATCGAGGCTTTCCTCTAGTTCGAGAAGGTTTTGTTCTTCAAAATCTACAATTATCTATTTTCACTGGCTGTCAAACACAAATTAAATGACTAATGGCACGCGTACCACAGTTTAAGAAGCGCTAATATAAGTACCTACAGTTACTGATAGTATAACAGTCACTTTAAAGTTTAAACGTATTTATGTTATTATGTACGCAGACATAAGTACATACATACATATGTATGTAGCGATGTATATTTGTCAGTATATAACAAATTTGGTCGGCATATCGACTTTTGCATTTTTCAACTGATTTGCACAGAAATTAAAGAAAAAAGTACTTTTTAGCAATAATCAGCGTTGAGATATCATTATATGCACACACATACATGCATGCACACCTACAAATAAAATCGTGTTTTGCCAATCTATACACACACATACGCAGACACACTTGTATTCATGAACTCACGAAACGCACACATGTATGCATATCTCACCTACGTATTCATATGTATTCCCTGCAGAGCGATGCACAGTGGGTACGTTTCATAAAAAAGTTGGTCATAAATAGTAAAAATGGACCTACAATTTTGAGATTAAGTACACAAGCTTCTTTAATGAATATCAGTAAATAGGGCAAAAATGAACTGTCTGCAAATACGCCCACATCCCATATAACGGGAATTTTGGAAAACGTTTAAAATGCAATATTTTCAAAACAGATAAGTAATTAGAATGGTCTAACTCGATATATAGGGATATATTTGAAGCAGGGACCGTAACACTTACAACTTTTATTAAGAAAATCGCTCGTTAATAATTATTTTTTGACTTTTATTTAATTACTCCTTAAATAAAATTTTTTTCTGATTTTCATTTTATAAATCCAAAACAACAATTATTTTTGATTTTTATCTAAATACTCTGTAAATAACAGTTATTTTTGATTTTTAAATTATACAGTGGCGGCCAAAAATGGATGAATGGTGTTTCATTTTTAATATTTACAATGTTTTTCAAGCTATAATTTTTTTTGGTATTTTTTTTTTTATAAAAATATGGTTCATGCTTTAACAAAAACCATATAAATCGTGCTTTCAAACTTAATACATAATTTAGAAAAATTCCACAAATTTCTATATAAATGTCGAGCTTTTTAACCAGAATTTTCAAAACTTTTTGGGTATGTAGTTAACAGCTAAAAAAATCGAATTGATTTTTAATAATGTTTTTTTTCTGACCGCTTTTCGGGGTTTTTCATATAAACTAATAATAATAATAGATTGGCGCTTACACATATGTTAGTGTTTGGCCGAGCTTCTCCTCCGATTTGTGGCGTGCGCCTTAATGTTGTCACACAAAGCGGAGGGACCTACAGTTTTACGCCGACTCCGAACGGCGATTGTATTTTTATGAGAAGCTGTTTTTCATGGCAGAAATACACTCGGAGGTTTGCCATTGCCTGCCGAGGGACGACCGCTGTTAAGAAAAAATTGTTTTCTATTTTTTTGCGATGTTACTTTGACCAGGGTTTGAACCCAGGCTTTGCGGAGTGGAAGCGCGCACTGCTTACCACTACACCACAGCGGCCACATATAAACTGGCGTTCACTTTTTTTTTATTTTTTTCGCAAACGGTCTTGCGCATACTCTTTCACAAATTTTCTGAGATACGGTGTTTTCGAACCGGCTGCCGAGATAGGTCGATCTATCACTCAGCCGTCGATATAAGAATATTCGCTAGTAAATAAGTTAGTTAGAGCACTTCATTGTAAAGTATAGATTTCTTACTTAAGTTTGGGCTCACTGTAACGCTAAACGTGAAATAATTTCAAAACTGTTTTTCTTTTTTCTTATCCTAGGTACGATCTGCCGATCGGCATTAAAACAAACGGATTTATTAACACTTAAATTTCTTTTGGATTTGTGGCCGCAATCTCCCACTGTGCGGCAGTTTATAGCTTCAGTATGACTTTGTAGTTGTTATTATTGTGCCAATGTTGATGACGATGATAAATTTTGTTTTATTTACGAAAGTTGTTATTGCATTTAAACGTGTTCATATTCATAGATATACAATACTTATCAGCTTTGGTTACCTTTAGTTAGTGCAAAAATTTATTTATTTTTTTTTTGTAATTTTTTTTTTGTTACAATTTTTAAGTCACACGTGTTTTTTGCTACTTTTCAACAAACTTTACACGAGTTAGATTTGTATTTTTTATTTTGTATGTAGTTCATATTACACTACTTTATAAACAAATTCATTACAATTAAAAATATGTACAAATAAAGCACCATGCAGCGATATAGCAAAAAAGCAAACAGAAACGAAAAATTAGCTGCAGCAAAATGAAATGCAGCGGGGAAGAATTTCGTGCATTGCTGCAGTGGCTTTGCAGCTTTGTGAATTTTTTCGCTGATGTTGCGAATTTTTCAAATCATTTTGTTGTTATTGGTATACATAGCTACATATGTATGTAGGTATGTTTTAGCACTTTAACGGCAAGATACTTAGACGCGAATAAATTCATAGTACATTGCCATTCTGTAAAACTGCAAATAACGCGCAGAAAGAAACAACACTGAAATTAAAATTTCGCTGGCACTTCGAAAACATTTGCGAAAATCACTCAAATATAATTTTGGCAAACGCAAAGGACATAAAAACGCACACCGTATACTATATATATATATATATATGTATATAAAATACTATATGTGTGTATAGGTACATATGTATGTATGTACGAAGGAAAACGCTTTCGTATTCTTTTAAATTCTTTTGCGAATCCATCATGGCACCACCCAGTCCGGTTCGCATTCTCGTACCAGTTTTTACTTCTTTTTAATTTGTTTTTGTTTTTTTTTTGTTTTTGCTCTGCTTTCTGGTTTAGTACCTACAGGCCATATAAAATTTAATGCCTTCACTCACTTCTTTTTTTTGTTTTTTTTTGTTCGTCACTCGCATTTTATTTTAAATTTTAGATTTTTTCATTTTTGCAACTTTTGTGGCTAGATTTTTTTAATTTTATGTGTGTTTTTTGTTTTCACTCGCTTCTTGTTGTTGCTGTTGCTGTGCACTTTACTGGTGGCCAAAATACAAAATACTTCAACAAGAACAAGTCGTCGTCGTTGGACGCATCAGCAGCAGCCGTAATACTCGTACCAACAAGTTCTTTATTTCTTTCTTGAATACTCGTCATTTACGTGTTGTTATTGTTGTTGTGGTTGTATGCTTTTCGTTTTTTTCACTTGTGTTTTTTTATTTAACTTTTTTCTTGATTTTTATTATTTTTTAATTCCACTTTTATGTGCTGCGGCTGGTTCTGGCCCGCGGCGCGACAACTTACTTACTTACTCACTTACTCGCTCACTCACTCACTACAACAACAACAAAAACAAAAAAAACTTACTTGAGAATATATTAACTGCTAGCTAGTAGCTGTTGGCAATTGTTTGCAGACATCCGCTTATCGCCCGACGATCGAACAAACGCGAATAAGCCAAATTGTAGACTGATTTGAAGCGCCACATCGTAAATGGCACAAACGCTCTGCGGCGGAGGAGATCGCACCTCGCCAACTCATTGCGCACACAGCTCGTCAGCGTACTCAGCTACGAGCAACCAACCAGTTTGTTTGGCTGACTAGCAGGCCGAGCTGGCTGGCATCAAGCAGTCAACAAGTGGGAGCTCGAATGTACGAGTATATGTATGTATTTATGTAGGTATCTACCTACATATGTGTGTAGAGATCAGGGCCAAGCGTCTACCAATTGGTTCTTTTATATCTCACACTTACATGGGTAAAACGAGAATGACCCTGTTGGAAAAATACCTTACGCGACCAGTAATGAAAAAAGTAGCGGAAATGTTTAATTTTGGCTAATCGTTAAGGTATTGGATTGATAGCGAATTAGCAAGCAAAGCCTTAAAGTCAGAGTGGGTGGGAATGGGAATATATTTCCCAGTTGGACTGATTAGACTAAAGCACAGG